CTTGACCATGTGAGCAAGTGGCATCTTCTTACCAAAAGCCAATAATTTTTGCATAACCAATGCATTGATTCTGCTAATTTAATTTGTATATTCAGTGCATAGAGACCAGTATACAAAAGAAATTAACTGTATAGCCTTTTATTTTTTAAAACTCTTTTTTAAAAATCAGATGGTTTTTTACCATTGGTTAATTTTGACTTGCATTTTGAACTTTTATTCTACACATTTGATTCAGCTTTAACACTTTTTACAAATGGCAAATTATATTTTTTATAAATGATAAAAGTCATGAGACTTTTCAGAAATATAATTAATTTGAACATATGACAAATCACATACCTCTGGCTCCGTTTTTTCAAAATATCAATAATTGACGGACAATCCCAAAACAAACTATATAATATAAACTAGATGTCAAACTTGCGGTCCTTTATTGAACAAAAAATGATATCACTTTTTTTGCTTAAAAATATAATTTGCCATTTGTAAAAAGTGTTAAAGCTGAAGCAAATGTGTGGAATAAAAGTTCAAAATGCGAGTCAAAATTAACCAATAAATTAAAGATAATTCAAAAACATGTTATAATAAATAAAAAGTACTTATCAAGGTTTATTTAAGGTTTATTTCTATTTTAAATTTTAATCCCTTTTTAATCGAAAATAAATTTAGAAATCATAAATTATTACTTTACAAGTACTCTAATTTCCTCTTAACACTTTTACATATAAAGATTACATATATAGATTTAAAATATATTACATATATAAAAATATATTTACTATATATATAAAAAATAATTAAATAGTATTTGTTTACAAATTTAATCTGTCATTAGTAAAAAGGACAAAAGCGGCTTCACTTTTTGGATTGAAGTAAGACAACTAGTTTATATAAAATATCATTGGTTAATACACATGTGATCATTATGGAGCATACTTTTAATATCAATGGCTAGATGTGAAAACCAAGATAAATGTAATTACAATAATTTTTCAGTATTCACATGATTAGGTGTTTTAGTAACATTTATTTCCTATGCCCATGTTGCTGCATTCAGACAAGCAAATTATATAATGAAAAATGTGCAACTAAATGTTTAACTGGCCATTGAACAAGATCAAAAATTAAAATTCAGAACAAATATCAAAGGGTTTACTAAATGAGCACTTTTTATAGAGAGTTTAGTAAAATATAACATTGAATCACTTTCAAAAATATAAAAATTATTGAAATAGGCTTAAAGAATAAATCTTTGATTAAACTTCAATAATTATCATTTTTTTAATAAACTGTTTAACAAACAATTAGCCTTTCACAATATAATTGATCTTGATATCATCATACATTTATATTTGTTTATCTGTATGCACAAATATATAAACTTATATATATTTTTATATAAATATATATATATATATATAAATATATATATATATATATATATATATATATATATATATATATATATATATATATATAGATATATATATAGATATATATATATATATATATATATATATATATATATATATATATATATATATATATATATATATATATATATATATATATATATATATACAGTCATGGCCAAAAGTTTAGAATCACATTTAGAACTTTTCATTTTTTTGTGTTTTTGTTGAACACTTTATGTGTATTGATTTAAATAAATATTTTGTTTATTATGACTAAGATCTAGTGTAAAATTTAGATGTTCTGTTGCTGTTTCTGTAGGATATGTTTTTCGCTTGCTTCATAGTGAGAAGTTATGACTTCTATCCTTACCATGTTCCTGGTCATAACCCGGAGGTGAATAACAATAAAAAATAAAAATAATAAAAATAATTTAATACAAATACATAAAAAATTGTTTACCCTTTTTCGTGACTTGAGACTCAAACTTATGAGAGTCAGTGTGAGTTATATAATTGTAGGAATAGCATGATATGATTATGCCAATATACAAATTCGTAAAAGAAACACATTACACAAGTTATAAGATGCTTATTAGGTAATTTCTAGTCTAGTTCCACAACAAAATAAAAAACTTTCCATTCAAAAAAATAAAATATATATTATGATTAAGACATTGTCTTAATATAACTTAATTGTCTTAAATTTATACTCAATATATTATGTATATTAAGTAAAAACCTTGTTTTAATACAACTTACAACTGTCTTAGACAACTGAATTGAATGTCATAAAAAAAAAGGCTCTGTATTTTTATTGGCAATTAATTAAACTGTTAAATAGTTTAATAACGGGTATTTAAAAAACATTGCATTATCTATTTGTAAATAAAATATTATGTGCAAATATTTTATATGTTAGAAATTTTTACTATATAAGTAATGTTAAATATACAAAGTATACAAAAACATAACAAAAATGTCAACAGTTTTTGAAAATCAAATAAAGTTTTTGTAACTTTTATTTATCATTAACATGATAAAAATTTAATATCTAATTCGAATTTAGAATAAAAAGAAATAATGTATTAATTATTAGTATCACAGAATATAATGCCTAAAAACCAGATTAAAAATAACATCTTTTTCGATAACGGTTTATCAACCATTTTAAAAATGCGCAAGCTGACGTTGCTTTGATGTCAAAAGTAAAAACGTAAAAAAAGCAACATTGTTCCAAAATCGTTCTAACGTTAATCAGACTAACGTTGGTTTTACGTTAAACAACCAACGTTGTTCCAACGTTGGTTGTTTAACGTAACGTTGGTCGTTTTAATGTTAACATTCAAGACTTTAGATAATAACGTTTTTCCGACGTTGTTCCAACGTTTGATAGCAAACGTTAGAACAACACCGTTATGCCGACGTTGGAACATCGTTGGAATTTAGTTAACTTGCGTCGCAACCAAATTACAACTATATATATATATATATATATATATATATATATATATATATATATATATATATATATATATATATATATATATATATATATATATTGTAACAAAAATGCTTCTTACCGAAAAAAACAAAAATATTTCTTTTCTTCTCTTTGTTCGAACTTCGAAATCGATTTCCCTCCAAAACGAAACCGCTAACACGCACGTGTCATTAAAATGGCGGCTACACAATTTTGTGTTAATTCTACACATCTTTGTGTCAAAATAAAACTGTTTTATTTTCTCACAAAAATGTGTAGAATTAACACAAAATTGTGTAGCCGCCATTTTAATAAGACACGTGCGTGTTAGCGGTTTCGTTTTGGAGGGAAATCGATTTCGAAGTTCGAACAAAGAGATAAAAAAAAAAATATTTTTGTTTTTTTCGGTAAGAAGCATTTTTTGTTACAATATATTTAAAAATAATACCTTGGTGTTATAATATAAAAGAGTAGTTAAATCTTTTGTTTTTGTTTGCTGTTCTTTTCACATTTATATACTTTCACTCAATATACATGCTACATTAATTGGTGCACAAATATAATAGATACAATTGTGTAAATGTAACTAAGGCAAATGTAAATGATTATTCAAATATTTTCATAATACATTGTATTTGATGCTAATTAAATATATAAACTTATTTGATTTCTAGTAATGTTTTTGCATGAGCGATAATTAGTGTTAATACATAAACTGTAAAATAGCTTTTGGTCAAATACCAATTTATATTTAATTACATTTTAATCAGAAATCAGGATTTGTGTTGCTAATGAATACTGTCATAAGTAGCAAGTCTTTCTAATATTTTTGTTTACTTTCACTGTGCATCGTATTACTTCAAAACCATTAGATAAGTCATGTTTTAATTTGTATTTTTGTCAAATTAGTTTAATAGTTGCATATTGTTAAGAAGAAGTTTAACTCTATTATCACTCTATACACTGCAATTATAATTGTAATCACTAGTTAGAGAAATAAGGAAAATAAATTTATTTTTATTGTGATTTAATGCATAAATACTTGCATTAATGACATTTTAAATTTTGTCCGTAATTATTGTAACTTTTTCATTCAATTACAAGCAAGTAGCTTTTAAGTTTATCCGTTTGATGCGTTTGTTGTTACTGAAAACATTACATCTTGTTATTAAGCTATGGTTTTTAAGTTTCTTTTATTTTAGTGGTGTATAACAATAATAATAATTATTATTAACCTATATTTTAAATAACTTATTATATTTTGTGTGAAATTATGGTTTTAATTGATTTTACTGGATTATTCTAATATAACTCGTTGTTGATGCATCTTATAATATGATTTAATTAATATGATCTTGTGTTTCTAGTTGTAAATAGTTATTTGCTTGTAGATGTCTAATAAATTGTTGAAAGTTTGGACTATAGACGGTTCGGTAAAAGCAGCTGTGGTATGCAGTAATTTGGCTGAATTGAAAACCAAAGGTAATAATCATTGAGTATTGTTATTCATAACTTTTCTTATAAGCGGTCATCTCAAATAGAAGGTGCAAACAATTAGGTTTCTTCTACACGAAACAATGGGCTATGACTGCTGTTTATGTAGAAAAAGTATTGATGCTTTTACAATTAAGAACTTCTTAACACATTTTCACTTGAAATATGATAAAGTAGCACTTCATTGTGGACAAGATGGCTGTATGAGATATTTTGATAGCTTAAGCTCATTATCGACTCATTTACGTAGAAAACATAAGCTTACTTTGACAGATGCAAGCTCCATGGAACAAAAAACAGTTGATAATGAACCAGAAAATCTGTGTGATGAAGTTACCGACTTTAAGGAACAGCTAAGACAGCTACTGTTTAAAGTTTATGCTAAGTATGGGTGCTTAGATATGATACAGGAGGGATTTACTGATTTATTAGAGGGGCTGAATCAAATGTTTTCTGATAAATTAAAGAATGTTGCAAATAATTTAGATGCAGTTCATATATCCACAACCAAAACTCAACTTGAATTAGTAATTCAATAAATCGACAATGTTAAGCCAACTTTAAAAGAAGTAGTAAACTTTGAACAGCAATTGAAACACTTTAAAAATCATATGAAATTTGTTGAGGCGGTTGGACGTCCAATATCTGTTTGTTATAAATCCCGTTTGAATAAGAAAACTGGCAAAATATGTCAATATCCTATTCCTAATACATACCAGTATATACCAATTCATCAGACAATTAGATTTGTTTATAGCCATATGTATGACATCTTAAAAAAACAACAAAGGAACACAAATAATTTAATAAGTGACTTTAGCGATGCTTCTCGTTTCAAAGAATGTCAACTGTTTATAGAAAATTCGGATGCCTTACAGTTAAATTTATATTTCGACGATTTTGAAACAGTTAATCCGTTAGGCTCGAAAACAAAAATTCACAAACTAAGTGCAGTCTATATGATGATACGGAACTTGCCATCCTATTTAAACTCCCGCCTCATGCATATTTATCTGGTATGTCTTTTTTATACAGAAGATACAAAAACTACGCGTGGATATGAACCAGTTTTTGAAAAAATGATTAAGGATATTAATACATTAGAAATAAAGGGTATTGAAATTGTGCTCGGTAAAGCATGTCAGACAGTTAAGGGCACTGTTGTTTTGTTTTCGGCTGAAAATTTAGGTGCTCATAGAATTTTAGCTTTCCAAGAGGGTTTTACTTTTGGTTGTATATGTCGATTGTGTTACGCAACTGTTGAAAGCATTCAAGATCACCACCGAGCCAGAGATTTTGAACCAAGAACTGCTGAACAGCATGAAAAAGACGTGCAAGACTGCAACACAAGAAATACTGGTGTAAAGCGACAATCACCCTTTAATGATTTGCATTACTTTAAAGTTACTGACAACTATTGTGTGGATGCTATGCACGATATATTTGAAGGCGTTTTTCCTAATGTGTTAAAATCAGTTTTATACCAGCTTATTATTGTCGATAAAATATTTACATGTAATCAGCTCAATTCTCGACTGAAAGCATTTCGTTATGCCACACATGAAAAGAGAGATAAGTCGTCTTGTATAACTTTAGAAAAATTGAAGTCAGGTGATAATCTTCTGGGTCAGCGTGCTGCTCTGTGTTTAAGTAGACTTATTGGTTTAATACTTGGAGATCTTATAGACTGTGAAAATACTTATTGACGGTTGGTCACTCTTTTAGTGGAGATTATAGACATTATTTTGTGTCCTAAGATATCGCATGGCATGGTTTCATATTTAGATCAACTTATATTTCATCACCACACAATGTACAGGGAGTTATTTCCTACAAGACGATTGACACCTAAATTTCATAATTTAGTTCATTATCCTGCTTGTCTTCAAAAGTTTGGTCCAGCATGTCGATATTGGTGTATGCGGTTTGAGGCCAAACATAATCAGTTGAAAAAATCAGCTACGAGTTTCAAAAATGTGTGTAAAACTGTAGTTCTTAAACAACAAATTCATCAGTGTTTGACTTGGCATTTTGAAAAAAAATTCGGTGGCAGGGATGTAAATAGTGGTGCTGGAGAACTAATTTTTGTGCGAGTATTTAAGGCAGCATCTGCTGTATGTGGCAAATTGTGCATTGGCATGTTGGATGAAGTTTATGTTTGTAGACATACAATGATTAATGGTACGAATTATTTCAGTGGAGATGTTTTAGTTGTTGGTAGACAGATGGTACAGATATCGATGATGATGAAATTGTGCAATATTTTAATCCCGGTGCAATAGTCTATGCTTTAAATGCTGATGAAGCTATCAGAAGCTTGGCAACAATATTATCTATAATACCCGGCACACCAGACAACACATTCGAACCATTGCAGACTTCTACACCAGAAACCAGCATAACTAGCATAACTTCAACTGCAGATGTGCATCACATGGAAGACATGGAAGAGGAACAGCCAAGCACGAGCAAGCAAGTTGTCGTAAACGACCAAGGGACGTGCCTGTTACTGTGATTTCAAGTAATAACGGTATATATTACAGTATTATATCTTATAATAAAAACCTATTTCAAATATGTTACTATAAAAATGTGTATATGTAACTGTAAGTGTATTTGTATATGTGTGCTTGTATGTATGGGCAGAAGTGTACAGTCACATTCACAACATGCACACTTGAATACAACTTAGTAGGGGTGTGACGTTTAATCGATTAATTGTCCGATTAATCGGCCAAACCTTTAATCAAATAATTTTTTAGTTTTTGATTACTTTTTTCCCAAAATGCATAAATTTTATCAAAATCAAAAATATGAGTATTGCAGCGTATGCTGGAATAAGCAAGTATAAAGTACACACCATTTAAACCCCCTAACTCTTATTAACGTAGACGTCATAGGATTTGTTTTTAATCGATTATAAATCGATTAATTAATAGACCGTGTTGCCGATTAATCGATTAAAAAAAAAAATTAATCGGCATCACGGATTAATACACATGTGCCAGAACACGTATGTTCTCATGCAAGAATCTTAAGGTGCCACTAAAATTCTGCTTCAAATATTATAAATCAATTTGATGTGTAAAAGAAAAATAGTGTATACATAATGCATTTGCGTAAACTATAATAAATGAATGTATTAATGATTATTGTTTTTAAATATCTATAAACGTTTTAATTATTAAGGCATTAAAGAAGCATCCAAAAGAAAAGTGGATAATAGAAGAGGGTAAAAAAGCCGTAATGGCACGTGAAGCTCGTTTGGCAATGGTCAAGGCAGCATGTAGTCATCTCATTGACTTATTTGGAGAGTATGTATTTTTACATTTTATATATTGTTAGCTTGTTTAAACTCAAATTGAGAAATAGATAAACTCGACAATAATAGCGAAAATAACAATACGGCAACAATTATGCTAATATTAAGTATTAACAATAATAATCAAGCTTATTTAATGTTAAGCTTATTGTAATAATTTTAATAACAATAACAATAATTATAAAAATTATAAGAAAACTAATATTTTATAATTAAAGTATTGGATAAATTAAAACAATGCGCATTTTAATCATTGTTATGTTAAATACAATTGATGATGGGTTGGCAGATCAGTTAGAATTATAGTTTTGTGCGAAATGGTAGAATGATTTGTTTTCGATGTGTTACCTTTTACAATTATTTACATTGCTGTGCAAGAAAGCATTATTTAATTTATTTTTTGTTTAGTTATCCACCAACAGAAAAGAAAGTGTTGATGGCAAAAAACATCATAGAAGCTTTTCCTAACCAAAAATCAAGTTTCGGCGAAGGATATGTAAGAATGCATTTATTTGAATACTGGTTATGTAGTTATTTGAATACTAATAACTAGCTAATAGTATATGTATGTGCATGCATTTTATTGTTATGTATTTAACCGAGTATATATGAATATGCCATGTTTGCTCTATATAACAATTTAGGATGATAACCAATTTTGTCATCAGAATCTGAAAAGTAAGTCAAAATTGTTGTTTTTGTACATTCAATACAAATTTGTTAACTGCTTTTTTTTTTTTATTAAGGAACATTATTACTCATCAGATGGGACAGGTTTTATACAAAACCGGTTTAGGCAGATTCAACGCCAACTGCCTGAGCAGCAACAAAAATATCGCCAAAGATACAAACTATGTATGTCATTGTTTTCTTATAATTAAGTGTACGATTGCGTTAGTGAACAAATTAGGCTTGAGTAAGTTAGAGATACATGTGCAGCTTTTAATCTATTAAGTAAATCTATAGCTAAATATGCAGCTGTTGATCTATTTTATCAGCCTGTTTTATTGCATTTATTTTTATGTACAGCAGTCAATGATAGTGTGGTTCAAGCGGCTGACCAATTTATAGAGGTGTTTGGCGAGGATGCCAAATTAAAAACGGTCATGCTTCAGAATTTTGTACCATTATTGACCAACGTAGACAAAATCTATACGTTAATGGCTGAAACGTGCATTTATCGGCAGAGTTGGATAAAAGGGGGTGGAGGTTCTGCTGGACCTACAATGGCACAGATCCTTCAGAAATACCCTTGTTTTATAGATGTGCCTGGCTTAGTAAGTTTCTGTTTTCAAGAACATTGAAAATTAAAAAATAACTCATACATAGCTTAATTTTCGAGATATACACCCAATAAAATAATAAATAAACTTAATTATATCCAAAATCCTTTTCGTTTCTTTCGAAGAATTTCATTACATTTATTTCAAGTATTTTATTATAGCTACGCAAAATCCTACATACAACTTTCATTATTGTTGCTTGATAAAAGCACTAAAAGAATGCTTATTGTTGATATATATTAATGTTCATTTTACTATTTGTCTGCATACATATAAGCAAAACTAGTTTCATTAACTGTTGGTTTCTGTAAAATAATCGATCATATGATTTTAAGGTACAACAAGATTTCAAAAGTATGGCTGCTAGTCCAAGAGAAGATCCAGCAGCATACTTTGAAAGCAACCTCGATCTCAAACTGCTTCGTTTTTTGAAAGCAACCTCGCTCTCAAAGTGCTTCGTTATTGTGTTGGCTAAGGCAAATCCCTTGATCTAACGCAGAACTTTGAAAATTTCACCGCAGGTACAACATTTAATTATTCTGGATTGAACTTGTGTGTAAGCACTTTAAATTATTGTAAATGTATGTAAAAAAAACCTATTTATTTGTTATTAGATGCAACGAGTCACAACGCGATGCTATGTTTGCTGGACATGCTACCTACCATGGGAAAGCATCGGACATCAGCTAAAAATGCCCGCCAATATTTCATCGACAAGATAAAAGTAAGTCGATGTTAATGATCATTGTATATTATCGTTTGCATGTAATAATAATAATAATAATAATAATAATAATAATAATAGTTTAAATGCATTTTATATGATAAACTAAAACAATGGTTTTAGCTTATTTGCTATCAATTTTATAACAACCACTAATTGGTTTTTCATAAAGTAGGATTCAAAACATTATTTATTAATCTTTTTTTACCAGATCGGTGATAGTTTGGAAGCATACTTAGAATCTTGCCAGCAAGAGAACAAAAAGCTCGAAAGGTTTCAGCCGTACTTTTTAAAAATGGGTGCTACTGAGGAAGCATCCTATTACATTATCTGTGATGGTCGTGCCTTGTTAGTGAAGCCATTGAAAGCTGCCAATGCTCTTTCAGATTTATTTTCAACGTTTTTTGTTTTTAATGTCAGATCTCCATCTCAGCTTATGTCATTTTATAATTTTCTTGAGGTATATATGTTTGAAATAAAAAGCAAACTCTCTGCCAAAGCAACTATGTTACTTAAAGATTTGACTGTATCATAAAAATTGCTTAATTTTTTTATCACAAGGTTTAAGTACGGTGTCATAATCACTTTAATTTTATGAACTTCAAAAAATTATTGCAATTAGGTGATATAAGTCATAAAAGGAGTATGTTAATGCACTCCTGATCATTAATATGCTAGTATGGAAAAGATGTTACATAGCTCTTATTGTTAACTTAGTAAAAGGTGTAATGATAAATGGTGTAATGCAGTTAGAGAACTCTAGTCAATATCTCACCAGGTGCTAACTGTCATTTTTTGAATTACTGAGTAATTCATTTTTTGTGTTTCTTGTACACTGTTGTGTTTGAATTCATAGCGTGCAATATTATATAGTTCCTTTCAATGTGCTTATATTCATACTCAGCGAAAGATGTAGTGATAAAGATGTAATGCATTTAGACAATGTTTAGTCAAAATGACAATTGGTGCTAACTGTCATTTTTTAAAATTACTGAGTAATTCATTTTTGGTGTTTCTTGTACATTGTTGCATTTGAATTCATATCGTGCTTTCAATGTGCTTAATAATTTATTTAATAAATAGTTTATTGACATGTTTATGCATATTAAGATGATGCAGTGTTTAGCAATAATGTGTTGTGTGCTTAAAGACTCGAATATTTTGCAAACATGTATAGGCATTACACACACACACGCACTTGAATGTGTATGGTATATGATTGTATACTTTTACATAATTTCATATGCTCATAAACACATTTTCAATTTTTTTTACCTCTTCGGTGCTAAATGTGAAATTGTACTATTTTGGTTAGTTTGTGTTGATGTATAGCCTATTTGATGAAGAATTATTTCAATCACACATAGGCTATTATGT